TTACTGAATCCAATATCTGTACACCCATTTTCACAAGAGTCACTAAACCCATACTCCAAACTTCAACATCATCTTCCTTAATCAACAATTTCTCTCCTTCCACAAGGATTCTCTGCATAAACCTATCAATGAATCTTTTATAAACTCGAGGCAATTCGATGAACAAATGAAAAGCTTTTAAAGGTTGGGTTTCCACAAAAGAGAGGATACAATCACTAAGCTCATCCCAACCATCATTATCCAACGATACAACGTTATAAGCAACGAAAGAGACGATCTTTCGAAAGATCATCATGTGGGTTTCTTCGGTTTCTTCCATCTTCAAGCATGAAATCGAAAGGGGTTTGATATCGATGAGCGCGACGAGAGAGAGATGGGTTTCGCGGTTTCGGAATACGTCGAGGGTCGAAGAAAGGAGATGGATTGATTGGAATCTGGTGGTTTCGTTGGAAGAAGATCGATAGATTTTGAGAAGCATTAGGGTTAAGCAATTTGGGAATTTCGAAGCGCAGAATTTGAATAGAGCAAGAGCCGATTGGAATTCGATGGATTCTTGAGGTTTAGCGAGTTGATTGAGCAAAAGCTCGAGTCTTTCGTGGCTTGGAGTAGCAAGAAGATCTCTGGCTTTCGAGAGGAGGAGACTTGGAGATTCCGCCATTGTTGCAGCTTCTGCAACTTTTTTTTTTATTTTTCTCGAGAAAATTTTGGCTCTATGAGACGTTCTGGAGAAAATTTTGTGTCTATGAAACGGTTATAAATTGTATATGAGGGAATCGAATCTGTGTATTTCGAATTATTGATTTAACAAAGACATTAATTTAATTGTTTCGCTTATACACACATTTTGGTTAATCACATTTCAAAACTTGGCAAGAGTAAAGATAATTGATATGGGAGATACGTTGATCAGGCAAATCGGATTTGGTTCTCCAGATAATTCCAACTTATACCGGCGTAGACCAAACCGTATTTGTAACCGTTCACATTTATGCTCTTAACCAAAGGTAACCAGAAATCCCATTCTAGCTCCGAATACAAGAACGGTACAATACAAGAACCAGAACCAGGTTCGAACCGGTTAAAGTCGATCGATTATTAGCTTTTTAAAAATTGGTCTGCTTGTTTTTCTCGACTAGGAAGTCGTTGAGAAGCTTAACGTTTTCGAATTCTCCGGTTAGCGTYGAACCGAGAATTGCTGCGACACAAATTGTGTGTTTCGTACACCATTTCGACCGCTATTTCAGGGTCTATCACGTAATAATCTTCTCTTAGCTTCACTTACTTGAACTCTACTTCGAAATACCTTGATAATTTCAATTGAGTCACACATAAACCTAAACCGGAATTACCAACTATTTGGTATAGTCTTTCATTTTTGGAGRGATTTGTATTTAGCATTAATTTGTCTAACAATCCATCTTCTTATTTGTTTGGTTTAACTATCTGTAAACAAACTCAGTTTTGGTTTAATATTCAAAATTTTTAGGTAAAAATAGAATATTTCRATTCTTTGGTCTAACGTTTCAAAAAATTTGGTTTAACTCTATGTAATTTTCGAAAACAGAGAGTACTAAACTCATTTCCTTTGTTTGGCTTAGGTATTTCAAACTTTTTCGGTTTAGGTTTCTGTTTCAGGATTGAAAAATAAAAAAAGCTAAACTGGTCTTATATTTTCGGTTTAGGTTTCTGTTTCAGAGAGTTGTACAAGTCACGAAATGTCAGAAACAACAATACACTATCGTAAAAGGAAAAATAAATAATTTTCTATCATAGTTTAAAAAAAAATATAAACATGAATATATATACTTTGTACATTACTCTTTTTTATTTTATAAACATGAATCTATATACTTTGTACATTACTCTTTTTTAAAAAAATCATTTATTTGTAATTTTCAATATTAATCAAAGAGTAATGTAGAAAAAATTGGCACAAAAAGGCAAAAGTTATTGGGACAAAATCAATTTCAATGTGATTCAATTTAGCAAAATTCTCTGTTTTGTTATGATCTATATAGACAACAAACAAGTAAACTCATCTTATGTACATTCTCTAAGAATAATGTTTCATAAGTCAGAGTAAGTAAAGCTTGATTCTTGAATTACAAGCTAACATTACCATTCCCACTGT